GGGGGGGGGGGGGGTGAGTTTACACTGTACTTGTACTGAAACATGTCCATTATACGTCCACGAGCATGCCTGTACATGAATCAAACAATGCACACCACATAAAAAACGACACGAACACTCACGTCCAAGGTCATAGGTCGGTCTTCGATGATGCTGTCTTTCCTCTGCTGTGCAAGCTTGCGGTAGAAATTGTTCATCTCCTCTGTACACGAACAAACAAACAAACTGGGTCACGATTCGGCGGAATCAGGCGTTCATCAATCTCTGGGCACATGAAGTTATTAATATCATCTGGGATGGAAACTGATCAGGTGAAAATTTACGTACCTTTTCGCTGGCCATACAGACTTGGAAAAATACACTTATTCAATTGCAGATTAGTACACATAGTAGAATGACTCACCATTGAAAGTAAGTAGACAGGCATCAGGGAAAGGAGGATGAGGTGTTTGATTGTGTAACGGCTTCAGCCTCTATCTTACCGTACGAAAAATGATGGTGTAAATTCAAATTACCGATTTCAGTAAATTTATGGAAAATTTCCATCCCTGTATCATCTTAAAGATTGTTCACTAGTTTTGCTTTTCACGAACAACAGTCGAGATATTTGTGATTGAATAAGGATGGTCACCTGGCATTAAAGGTAAAATTATTGAGAAAATGGCCATCAAATTTTTACAAGTTCCAAAGTTTGAGCATCCTTGGAAACTGCAAATTTACATTTCTTGTGCCTTTGATCAACATTTGCAGAAAAATCCATGCAGAAATGTGTTTTCAAATGGACCACATAAAAGGTGTTGGGCCAAACAAACCAAAAAATTCAATAAAGATTGCCCAACAGGCAGACAAGAGATTGGTTTCTTCGGTCTCATTATTTTTAGTTTTAGTAGAGGTTTAATGGTGCTCACAACTGCATAAGGTCATATGAGCGCCAGAAAATTAGAGGTGTTACAAGAGAGTAACAAACATAAAAAAAGAAGAAGGCGAGAAAAGGACGATAGATGTTTCATA